CCAGGGAGGAGGGTGAGATCACCCAGGGAGGAGGGTGAGCACAGGTGAATGGTCCGTGGGATCACAGAGGGAGGAGGGTGGGATCACACAGGGAGCAGGGTGGGATCACACAGGGAGCAGGGTGAGATCACACAGGGAGGAGGGTGAGATCACAAGGGAGCAAGGTGAGCACAGGTGAATGGTCTGTGGGATCACACAGGGAGCAGGGTGAGATCACAGAGGGAGGAGGGTGAGATCACACAGCGAACAGAGTGAGATCACAGAGGGAGCAGGGTGAGATCATATTGCGAAGAGAAATTAAGAAGCTGGTGTTCACTGGAGGCACCTTCTCACAGGCAAAGCCAAGCTTTCCTGCTGGCCCCTCAGAACTCAAACCCACTCGTTGTGGAAACCCACTCCCGCGTCTGCAAGCCCCTCTGTGGCGTAGCTGAACACTGACGGGACCCCAATGACCACCTGCTTTCGTGTGAGACATTCCTTGGAATTCAACTCAAGATACAACATCTGATTCCCAGGAACCACTTCAATGTCTTGACAACAGATGTGAAACATGCAGTTAAAATGGAGAATGTCACCATTCTAATATATGTACGACCGAGGAGGCCAACTGTGGCGTTTTTGATCAGATCCCTGGTTTTAATCAGCTTTTCTCTGCAAAGGTGAGCTCCTCGGCCATCCCCAAACACCGGGGACAGGCTGTGCTGCCCAGGAGCGGGCTCTGCCAGCGCACGGGCCCGGGTTCAAAGGCCCTGGGGCGGGGGGCGGGGGCTCCCTTGCCCCGTGTGCCCAGGGGGGGCTTCCTGGCCTCCTGAGGCTGCTGTGAGGGGCAGTGGGAGCCGAAGGGAGCAGGGGGGCCTTTGCTTCTAAAGGAGGCCACCCAAACATTTTCATGGCTCAATTCTTCACTTTCATTTTCTAAATCAAGAACTTTTGCTAAAGGACTTTGTGAATGATAAGCCACTTATGTTATCAAGCATGTATTTAAATCAGCTCCACCCGTCATTAAGGACAGGCCATAGTTAATCTAAACACATAATTTGGAAAACAGATGTGTATATACATACCGCATAATTCACTCCTGTCTTGGTTTTGTAGAAATTTCACATCGTACTCTTGGTGAGTGTAAGTTTCTCTTACACTAGAGGATGATGATAAAATTAAGATGACTAACACCATCCTGAGCGCCCAAGGCAGTGCCCCCTGGCCTCACTGTCCCCTCTCTCGCCGGGGCCGGCCCGTCAGCTCCAGCAGCGGGCTCAGACGCAGCCACAGGCCACCAGAGACACCAGTGCTGCTGGGATTCGGTCAACTGGGGAGAAGCTGGTAGAGCAGGAACACATGTTGGGAAGTTCTCCCTACAAGGCTTTTACGACCTTAATATACCAAGCAACTGGGGGCCTGTTGCAGAACCAGGAGAGCGGATTAAAACCGAATGAGCCCCAAGAGGGCGGCGGCTGTGGGCCCCTGACGGTGGTGCAGCCTGCGAGGCAGAGTTCGTGGCCCAGGCCGTGGACACCTTACCGCCCCACTGCCGTGCTCCTTTCTAAAGTGGGGCAGGGGGGCAGCAGCGTCCTGCACACAGTGGGTGTGCAAGTATCTGCTGAACGAACAGAAATATTCTAACGGGAAACGGACACCAGGCAGTTTGAAAAAAGCATCTGAAAAAGGAAAAATATCTATTTTTAAAAACCAGTTCAGGCTAAAAGAACTTTTCCATTGGGTGGCCTCTGGTTACTATTAATACCAGCGTCTGAGTTTGCAGAAGCTGCCTGGTGTCGGGGGTCTCCTCCGGCATGGTGACAGGGTCTCAGACAGGTACGTGACAAAGTCTACAAGCAACCAGATCCATACTTTTTGAATGGACCTCCCGTTCAGATACTTCTCTCCAGAGATGTTCTGAAAATGCGTCTCTGAATGATCTTCGACCATCGCTCCTGGTGAGACATGCCCCCTAAGTTGGTGGACGGGTATCCATCAGGCCCCCATCCCGACTGGGGCCGAACCTCACCCTTAAGTGAGGTGACAGGAAGGGGTGCTTCACGGTAGTCATCAGTGCAATGGGCGAGTCCAAATCACCCACGTGAAAATTCCAGAGTGCCTATTTCCAGTTTTAAAATGACAACTGTGATTCTTGGGGGGGAAGGCACTGGGAAAATGCCAAACCCGTGCTTTGCATAAATTAAGAGAAAAAGTACAAGAAATCAAAGCAGAAGTAATTCTACAGGCAGAATATCTTAGAAACTAGACTTAGTTCCGACTGCGTTTGTATTTCTAACGAGGGGGGAGGACGTGGTGAATTACCTTCAAATACTTGTTCAGGCTTTACCCACGTTGTAAACACAGGATGAGGAATACCTAAAGCATCGTTGCAGGGCAGCAGCTTGCTCATCTGCTTGAGTCGCTTCCCAGGCACCGCTGGAGTGTGGTGTGGCCCTTCTCTTGGAAACCACGCCCCCCGTGTCCCCATCCCTGGGGGGCTCCCTCGGGGGCCCCCCTGCCCTCCCACTACCGGGCCTGTGGTTTGATTCTCCTAAGTAACATCCTGGCCTGGAGCTTCTAGCAATCTTCAATCCATTCTTCAAACCCCATGGAAGAGGTTTCTTGCCCAGATTTGAATCTGGTCATGCCCATTCCCTGCGTGAACCTGCCCACCATGTGGCATGGTGCCCCTCCACACGCAGGGAGTGGCAATGAGCACATCAGGCTGATGGCCGGGCCTCCCGCTACGGGGAATGTGAGGGCGTGTGCTGGAATCTGCAAGGATTTGAAGAGAAACTGGAAACGTAGGTTTTTATCAGAAATCTCACATGCTTTAGAACACTGGCTCAGCTTTGAAATTCTGGCTATGTGAAATCAGCCCTAGGAAAAGCACCTGGCTGCCTCTCTCCGGCTCAATAAATCCAAATGTTCTGAACAAGAAAAGCCCTCGAGTGGGGTCTGGTGTGGATGTTCCAGCAGGGTGTGGCCCACAGAGAACACGGGTCTGGTAGACAGGGCCTTGCTTCCTCTACCACCCCGACTTCAAGGTCACAGAAAAGCTCACTGCTCTAACGACAAGTTTAAGAGTCCTCGTGTTGTCCACATGACCTCGGCTCGAGCTTAAGATTACGAAAATAAGTCGCAAACAGCGTTAACAGGTGTGTAAGCCCATGCCTGTCCACTTTCCCCTGGGGGTGGGGGAGGGGCAGTTTCTTCCCTAACTATTCCACCCGTGGTGTATATTCTGTTTTCTGCATCACACGTGGGTTTCAGGCATCATGAAACTTATTAAAACAGGTAAAAGCCACAGGGGAAATATTTTTAAACAAAACAGTTTGGTGAGTTTAAAAAAGTAATATTCTGTCCTTTCACATTTTAACTCAGAGGCTCCATATTCTAGCTGGACAGCTGGACCTCGAGGTTCAGAACCAACACCTCTTGGCTCCTTTCAGCCAGAAGGCTGGGCTGGATGTATGCAGGCAAGCGGCCATGCGGGAGGCTGTCTCGGGATCCGGCAGGTCGAGGACTGGGACAGGCACGCCTGGTATCCGTGCTATGTGCACTCCCCGGCCTGACCTTGAACAAAAGTCACAGGCACCGTGCCTTCCGATCATGAGCAACGTCAAGCGGACAGGTGCGTCACCAGCAACAGGTGTGTCTGCACTTGCACGCTCTACCTAAAATAAAAACGCCTGTGAAAGGAACCAACGCAGAACTTCAAGCGTTACCTCCTTCTGCTGCCGCTCCAGCTCCTTCATTCGGATCTCTCGAGCCTCGGCGCGGGCTGCCCGCTTCGCAGCGAGCCTCGCCTCCGCCTGAAACAGATGGGAGATTTCATGAGAAGACAGACCAGGGGCTTGTTTCGGGCGAACAGTGAGGCTGTTAGTAAGAGACTTTGTTCGGGGCTTAATAAAGATACACTAACATATCACAGACTCATGTGAGTTAAAGGTCATCAGGAATGACAGCAGCAGTGGTCAGAGTAATAAGGATTGCTACTGTTTATGGGGCCCTTACTAAATGCCAAGCAGGCACAGGTTTGTTTGTTTTTTTTAAGATTTTATTTATTTATTTGAGAGAGAGAGCAAGACAGAGTACAAGCGGGGGGGAGGGGCAGAGGGAGAGGGAGAAGCAGACTCCCCAGTGATCAGGGAGCCCGACATGGGGTGATCCCGGGACCCTGAGACCATGACCTGAGCGGAAGGCAGACGCTTCACCAACTGAGCCACGCAGGCGCCCCTAAGTGGGCACAGTTCTAAGGACTTTATATATATTGTGCCATATACCCCTTGCAACAGCCCTATTAGGTAGATATTATTACCATCCCCAGTTTATAGAGGCGGGAACTATGGCACAGAGAGGGTACGTAACTTGACCAAGGTCACACAGCCTGTAAGTGGCACGGCTGGGCAGTGTGCCCTCCTCCGGAGCTACAATAGACTACTGCACGGGGCAAAGCATTAGAGCTGGGCAGGACCACAGGCCACTGGCTCAACCCCTCCCTTTTACAGAGCAGGAAGCTGAGGCCCGTCCCAGGGCACAGGGCTGAGACTCCGACGCTGTTTTCCAGAACTCCTGTCTAGTCACCGCTCAGGACGCCCTGCTGCCCTCAGCTCCCCGCTCAAACACCTGCAGTGCTGGGAAGCTCGTCTTTCCTCGAGACAAGTAAGACCAGAGCAGGACGGTCAGTGAGTCCTAGCTCTTAGAAGCATTACATTAAAACAAAACAAAACAAACCATCTCCATGCAACGCTTTATCAACTTGGATAGCTATTTAGCCAAACTGTACCGAAGACCACTTAAAATGTTGGACCAGGGCTGACCCACGCCCTTCAACCTGCCACTCAAACACTGCTTCCCGCTTCACAGATCCCCTGTCTATTCACTATTTCAGCCGACACAGCACACGGCTCAGTGAGGACCTGGTGCAGGTGTACCCGGATTCGGGTTTTCCGGAGTCAAGCAAATGCCACCTTCTTTCCACTGTTTTTTTTTGGGGAATGAATACACTTGTCATTCTTCCACCGACAGTTCTGTAGATACGGTTTCAGGTGTTAAAGCAGGGCCGTGAGAGGTGTGGCCAGTGGTCCAGCAAGCAGGAGGTGGCCCAAGTGTCATCGTCCAGCTTCTCCCACAGGACCAGGCTCACATCGGGGCGGCGGGGCCTGGGGTCAAGGACGTCCATGTCCCCCACGCCATACTTGTACTGACTTACAAATTTATCTTCTGTCCAAATTCGAATCTAGGGTGAAAACTGACCGTAGCTGATCTGTCAGAGGTTGGCTGGTGTGTGGCCTTATAAGGAATTTCTTCTGTAACTTGGTTCATTTGTGTGGTTCCTTTATCAACCCAAGCCCAGGTCCCTCAAGTTGGGGGCGGGGTGGGGGGGGGTCAAATATCACAACTGCCTCAGAACAGTGATACCTCGGTGCCATTTTCAATTTTCTAAACCATGTTACACTGTGTGAAGGACCACTCGGGGTCTATAAAAAGATCCAGCAAAGCTCACGGGGAGGGGAAGGGAAGGTTTGTTTGACATCTGGCCATGATGAGATGCTATGGCCCCATGGCCGGGCCAGCAAGAGGACTAGGTTCACCCTGAGTGCAGCCTGCCTCCCTGCCTTCCTGCGGGCAGGCCTGGGCTCCCTGCCTGTTGGCTCTGGGGCTGTGTCTAAGCCAGTACACACCAGGCCACCATAGCCTCCAGCTTGGGACGGGCGGGGATGGGGGGGGGAAGGAGGAGGGCGAAGGCCGGGGTGGAGCGGGAATGTGAGAAACAGGAAAGGGAACAGAAGAAGGGAGGGCTGCCAGGGGGACACAGGCAGAGAAGAGTGGGGCAGGCCCTATTCTCAGGGGGTCCCCAAGACTCCTGCCCTGATGCACTTGCTCCACATAATCCTCTCCCCTTGAGTGTGGGCAACCCTGTGACTGGGTTACGTCGCATGGCAGAGAGAATCGCAAAAATAATTAAGGTCCCTCGTTAGCTGACTTAATCAAAAGATAGATTATCCTGGGTGGGCCTCACCTAATCAGGCGAGGCCTTTAAAAGAGGGTCTGGAAGTCAGACAGACTCTCCTGCCGGCCTGGAGAGAGCAGGCCGGCCTGTGTGAAAGGGCCACGTGAGGGGCCACATGACAAGGACCAGCCGGTGGGCCATAAGAGCCGCGAGCGACCCCGGTAGACAGCCAATGGGAAAACGGGACCTTGGCTTTGCAACAGTAAGGAGCTGAATTCTGCCCATGACCCTGTGAGCTCTAGAGGACCTCAGGCTCCAGAAAGGACCACAGCCTGTGCGACCCTGAGCAGAGGAGCCAGTAAGCTGTGCCCAGAACTGTGACCAGAGAGCCTAATATGATAAATGTGTGCTGTTTTAGGTTTCTGGATACTTGGGATATTTGTTACACAGCAAGAGATAATAAGGAGGCGGGGTCGGCTCTCACAGGGCTAGTGTCTCTGAGCTGCGGAGAATCTGAGCACGTATACACCCATCCCGTCCCACCCTACTTTCGTCTAGCTCTGCTTGGGATTGGGCCAAAGAGCCCTCAAGAGACCACCTACGTGAACATGCAGTCCGTGACCCCTGGCGCAACCTCCCCACCAGATGGGCAGGCCTCCAAAATAACATCCCATCAGACCACATAGACTACATCCCAGCTACCCCTGTGGGCCTCCCTGCACTCAGGAAAAGGCTCCCGTCATGGCCCGCCCACTCCTGTGGTCCTCATGTCCAACCCAGGAAGTCTGTCCTGGCTAAGAGGACAACAGTGCCAACAGACTAAACCCCACCAGCTCCCAATTTGAGGGACCCGGGCTTGGGATGATAAAAAGGAACCATGTGAATGAACCAAGTCATAGAGTAAATTCCTTATGAGGACGCATCAGCCAGCCTCAAAGACACATCGACTGTAGTCAATCGACCTCAGATTAGAATTCAGAAAGGGGAGAAATTTCTAATTTAGTACAATTTCAAATCCTTGCAATCGCTGCCTTATGAAACACCTTCCTCTTTTAGGATTCACATGGGACTCATAGGCAGGAAGCAAGATGCCCGTGTACGGGAAGTGGTAACAATCATGCTCACTTCTGGGAATCTGGCAAATTAAAAACCAACAGACATAGGGGCCAACATTTAAACCGGTCCAAAACCTCTGCACACCCAACTTTGTGAGCACAAGACTAGACCAGCATCATAAGCCTGGCCCTGGGCTGAGATGCCTGAATGAAAAACTAGAGAGTTTTGACAACACAATTCACCCTAAAACAATGATATTTGTCAAGAACACCAAGGAGCCTGACCCAGAGCCTAAGAGACAGTGATCACCCAAACGATCCTTGCAAAGTCACCAGAAAAAAATCTGTATGATCAAGTCATTAAATGAACAAAAACTACAAAACGGCTCTGGTCCACCACAGTGAGAAGCAAACACGAATTCATTCCCCTGCAGCATTTCGTGGAAGGCCCAGCCCTGCCCTCCCACCGCCCCAGGCCAGGTAAAGGCTCTTGGCCTCCCTGTGCCTCAGGCCAATGCTTCTGTGTACCGGACAAACCCATCACCACCCGCCACTTTCGTGAAATACAAACTCACATTCTTGAGGTCACAGCCATCTCAGTTTGTAGGAGAGTTTCCAAAAGCTTACTTTCACTTCTGTACTTAGCTGGTGGGGACTGCAGCTCTTGGTTATCACCAGCCCAGGCCCACCCAACCTTGCCACACCTTCAGACATGGCCAGGGAAGGACCTGCAGACCGCAGTGTGGGTCCCCAGTCTCCGGAGGAGAGAGCCAGGGCTGGGGAGTATAGTGATGGGGGGGGATGTGGGACAAGGTGGAGAAGCCTGAGGGCCTGGGGTACAGACCCTAGCTCTCAGCCCCTGTATCTGGAGGCTTATCCTGAAGGAATGTGAAGCCACTGGAGGGTTTTACAAAGGGACACAGTGGGGTCGACCTCTGAGAACTACCGTTCTGGCTGAAATGTGGGGAACGAGAAGAGGCTGAGGGAGGCTGTACGGAATCCCGGAAGCGAGCCCGTGAATGTGAACAGGTGGGATGAAGCAAAGTGGGGCAGCCAGAGGGCACTGGAGGGGTGCCGGGAGCCCAAGGTCCTGAGGAGAGCCCGTGTGCTCAGCAGCCAGAGAACCCTGGTGAAGAATCCCCACGCACCACATCCACACGCTTGTGATGCGCACGGTGCTGCCCCAAACCTGGACGTGCCGAGCATCCAGCCTGCTGACCCCAGCACGCCTCCAGGGCCTGCGTGGGTCTCAGAGTCGGGGTGTACTGCTACCTCGATACCCCCAAACTCCCAAACTCAAGGGAGATGACAACGGTCCATCGAAGCTGAAAGGACGGAAGGGACGGAGAAAAGGAAAGGGGTGGGTTTGCGGAATTTAGGACAGAAAGTACAAATGGCACAAGGGTTCAGAAAAGCAAGCTTGGAAAAGAAGACGGCGCACCCCTGCCAGTGAGCGGTCTGCTCCATCATTCTCCAGCCCCCGTGGCGCTCCTTGGCCGCTCCCCTGAGCGACCTGCGACCAAGCTCGTTCTGTGACCTCAGGGCAGCTGCTGGGACGGCAGCAGGGCAAGCTGGCTGGGCCCCTCCTCCCGGGTCCTGGGCGGCCCTCTTCCCTTCCTACAAGAGCCAGCAGGAGAGGGGCGCCAAGCCTTCAGCGTCTGCCCTCACCGGCTCCAGAGAAGGCACAGCTCTGGGCCCCAAGCCTCCTCCCCACCGCGTTTTTGTTGAGAACACACTAAAATATTTAAGACTGAAATAGTATCATCTCCATCAGATTTGCCTTCTGAGAACTAGGGGGAGTGGGGTGGGGGGTCCAAAGGGCTGTAAGCTGACAACTGCTGGGCCTTTCTG